AGTCTATTCGCCGCCTCCCCCTCCTCCTCCACCACCATCACCACCACCACCAGTCTATTCGCCGCCTCCCCCTCCACCACCACCAGTTTATTCGCCTCCTCCCCCTCCCCAATCTCCTCCACCACCTTCTCCAACCCCTATTCCTTATTGCGTGCGGTCGCCACCACCTCCGCCTCCAACACCACATTCCCCACCACCACCTCCACCTTCGCACTCCCCGCCCCCATCTCCCTACTACTATAGCTCACCACCTCCTCCTCCGACAATGCAGTCACCACCACCTCCACCACCTGTATACACCTATGCATCACCGCCTCCTCCAGTACACTCTCCACCTCCTCCATCTAATTCACCGCCTCCTCCAGTGCATTCCCCACCTCCACCTTCACCGCCACCCTGTATAGAACCCCCACCTCCACCTCCCTGTATAGAACCCCCACCTGAAGAGCAGCCACCTCCACCACCACCTTATGTTTACAAGCCCCCACCATCACCTTCACCTCCCCCACCTTATCACTACAATTCTCCGCCCCCACCATCATCTCCACCAACGCCTGTGTACCACCATTCTCCTCCCCCACCATCACCGTCACCACCACCACCAGCTCCAGTATATGAAGGGCCATTACCCCCAGTCTTTGGGGTTTCATATGCATCTCCTCCACCACCACCTTTCTATTGATTCTTTTGAGACAACCCATACCTACAAACGATTCCATTAGTATCCATTGCTGCAATTATTTCCTTATCGTTCACATCTCTGTGACTCACATCTTGAAATTCTCATCGCCCAGATGACAAAATGAAAGATCAAAGTAGAGATAAAATTAAATTGATGTTGAATCAGAGAAGAGTGGAGATAAAGAGGAGAAATTGGTTTCTCCCTATATTTAATTTGAATTGTTATGGATAAATTTGAGTTGTGAAAATAAAGTGGCAGGCAAAGAGAGGAGTAGGTTTGCAGGAAGTTCATGTATAGAGACCATAATCAGGGTGCTTGAAGAAAACAGTAATGGCTGCTGCTGCTCTGCTTCTTCTAAGTTGTGAACTTTATTGTGATCTCTGTTTCATATCATACTTTTGTTTAATTTTATAGTATAATGATAAACCATTTACTTGTATTGATTTTTCATATTCAGTTATTCCTTAAGCTTCTTCATGTTTGTGTAAATGTAATCATCTTCTTCCGTCGTTCATCCCAAGTACGCATTGCAGAAGCTGGCTGAAGATCGTTGACCTTATTCAATGATACAATAAAATGATATTATGGTTATGGTTTCTTCTTTAATTCTGTTAAATCTACGTCTACATCTTCAGTGCTTTTTGTTATGAAATTGATTCCATCAATCCATTAGGTGGAAATTGAATGTAGAAGATGACCTAAAATACAGCTAGCTATCACCAGCTCTGCCATGTTATTGAATGGAATGGAATGACGATGCGTGGTTGACCCTCGTGGGATTGGGACATAGATGATAGCATCAAAATTACCATTAATTGGATCTCTCTCTCTCTCTCATTAGTTTAGTCCCCCTTGATCTCCTGTACAGTGGGCACGACGAGATTCTTGTTATACTTTTTTGAAATGGTCATAAATTTAGAAAAATAAATCATGTTCTCTTGTCACATCAGTAGTAGAAAGTTTTTATTCTATCACATAAGATCAATTCTATTTGTTTATAAATAACATTGATCACTCAACTACTGTAGATAAAAATCAGATATTTTTATTAGATCTTAATAAAAGTTGGTAAAAATTGTGAATTTTATTAAACGTGTAGTCAAATTAATTAATAAAATTGACATTTATCAATTTTTTTTAACTAAACAAAACGGGATTTAATGACATTTTGACCTTGTGTCCCAATCCTAGAACTTTGTTCGACTTCACAATAGTCTAGCGTCTTGGTAACTGGATTTTGGGCTGTTTTTACTCCCAGATAGGGGAAACCCGATGAGACGGAATTCAAGATAATTTCAACTATATCTTGATTCGTAAGAAATATTTTCTTGATTTTTTTAGAGTGACAATAGAAATGACTCATATTGAGAATTGAAATGAAAGAATATGATAATCTTTTCAGGTGATATCAGATGAATCCATTTCTGGGATTTGTAAAGTGCATAGCTATATCCACCGAGCACTTCCTGGAACTGTGGTTCCAGGACCAAAACTGCATTAGCAGGCAAAAAATTGTACCATGTAAATTTCAGCTTCTGTTCGATATTAGTGGCATTCTTTGAATTGGTCTCCATGAAAACAACGCCAATTTCATCTGCTAAAGCCCAGCCTTAGCTGTATCATGTGACATAGCTCTGTTATCAGCCAAGTCACACTTATTTCCAACCAGAAACTTGTTTAATTTTCACTGGCATGGTGATATATTTCATATAACCATTGCTTCGCATTGTTAAAGCTTTCTTGGGAAGTTACACCATACACTTATAATGCCAGGTGCCCCGCTTCAGTAGCTGCTAGTTATTGTTCTGAAGCGTTTCCAGATCCGAAGTTTAATCGTCTTTCCATCTTTCTCGATAGTGTATCGTGCTGATGTAACTTTCCAGGTATGAAGCATCAGAAAATCTGAGGAGAAGACATCGCTTGCCAACATCTGAATCTCCCATTAATACAAGTTTGAACAAATAGTCATTTACAACGGCGGAATATTCCCAAGGCAATTCAATTTTGATGAGTTTGATTCAATATATCCAGTCAGTGATGGTTTAACATTGTCTAAGCGAAGTAAAGAATGCTATTTCACTGTTGTTGTTGGTCCCAGATTTGTGACTCAATGATGGTTTAACATTGTCTAAGCGAAGTAAAGAATGTTATTACACTGTTGTTGTTGGTCCCAGATTTGTGACTCAACTAGTTTAAAGTAAAAATGTAATAAAAACAACAAGAAATTAAAGAACATTCGAAAATTTTTGACCAAAGGCCTGGAGGTTTAGCGACCGCTATCTAATGCTTAGTTCCCTGTTGATCATCCGTTAGGATTCTACTCAAATCCACTAGCAAAGCCCAAAACACAGGCAAGAATGTCGATTACATACGAACACGAAGTGTTCAAAAAAGTTTCCTCTCAACTTGCTCTCTGCTATTCCACAAAGAAACTAAAACAATTTGCAAATAATGATGACTGTTATCGATTAAAAGTCCTCATAATTTCACTCAAAAATTTACAAGAACATCATCCAGATGATGAATCCTTTCAGAGTAGCAAGAAGCAGAAACAAAGAATATAGAGAGGCTAGGGTTCAAAACTCAATCGTCCAAACGACTTGTAAATTGTATAAATAACAAAACCAACAAACCTTGCATCTAACGGATATAAATTCTCCACGCATCAACCATCCGGTTCAGTTTAAGATAGAAATGCAATAGTCGCGTTTGAGAAGCATGTTTTTCTCAAATTCTAGAACCTTTACTTAGTTGGATTAAGACGTGGGCCGAACAAGAGAGGAGCAGCTCGAATTTCAGCAACCCAGAATACTTTACAATCTCCACCTTGTTATAATTTGGGACCATAGCTAAGTGGATTTAAACAAAATTAACTAACTTCATTTACTCTTATTATATGTACACAAAGAAAGGAAAGAAAATGAGCAAACATCAAGATTCAATAATCTCAAAGAATCAATGAGCTTATCAAGTGGTATTACATTTGTACCTACATCAGCAGGATTTATCTTAGTAGGAATTTTGATAAACTTAATATCACATTTTTCAATTATATTTCTTATAAAATGAAACTTAACATCTATGTGTTTAGTTATATAATGAAAAATCAGATTTTTACTTAGAAAAATGGCCTTTTAGTTATCTGAACATAACTCCACCCGATTTTCCATAAGTCTTAATTAATTCATTCAGTAGACATTTCTACCATAGGCCCCCCTTTTACTGCTTTAGTGGCACCAATATATTCAACCTCAGTTGAAGATAAAACAACTAGTTTCTGACGTTGAGATTTCCAACTAATGTATGTATTATTTATCATATAAAATATGCAGTTGTAGACTTCCCATTATCTAAGTTTTCAACAAAATCAGAGTCAAGCCTTTCAATTTAAGGTCATCTTTATCAATTTTAAACATAAGTCCTAACTGACATGTGCCTTTCAAGTATTTAATCAAATTTTTCATTGCTTCCCAATGAAGCTTACTTGGATTGCTCATGAATCTGCTTAACACACTTACAAGTATAGGCAATATCAAGTTTTGAGCATACTATAACATACATAAACAGATCCAAAAGCATTAGCATATGGCACATTCTTTATTTTTTTAGATTCGTCTCCAATTTTAGGTGATTGATTAACAAATAATTTCACACAACTAGATAAAAGTAAACTAGTAGGCTAAGCATCATGAAGGGAAAAACTTTTAACCACTTTTCAATATAATATTCTTGTGTTAAAAACAATTTTTCATTAATTCTGTCCCTTTTTATTTCTATTCCTAGAATCTTCCTAACAGGTCCTAAATCATTCATCTCAAATTCAAATTTCTACTTTTCTTTTATAGAGTTAAGAGTGACAGAATTGGGACCAGCTAGTAATATGTTATCAACATATAAGAGCAGATAAAAAAAAACTTAGATTCTCAATCTCTTTTGAGAAAAAAAAAACAGGGATCATATTCAAATTTCTTAAACTTCAAGCTTAGTATAGAAGAATAAAATCTTTTATATCATTGCCTTGGGCCCGTCTTAGGACATACAAGGATTTATTCAAAAGACACACTAACTTTTATTTGTTCTTCACTTCAAATCCTTTTGGCTTAGTCATATATATGGTTCCATCTAGAGAACCATAGAAAAAAGGCAGTTTTCACGTCTAGTTATTTGAACTCTATATCAAATTGAGTTACAATGGCAAACAATACTCAAATAGAAGTATATTTCACTATAGGTGAAAAAATTTCAATATATCTATTCTCTCTCTCTCTCTTTGTGTAAAACATTTTGCTACAAGTCTTGTCTTATATCTTTTGTCATTTGATTGTAACTTACTCTTCTTAATCTTGTAAACCCATTTGTAGTCAACCAATTTCCAGTCTTTGGGGTTTTCTACCAAATTCCAAGTATTCTATGTAGGGAATTAATCTCATCTTGTATTGTTGTAAGCCACTTGGAGGATTCTTTATAGGACATAGCTTCTTTTCTGTATTAGAGAAATCAGATTAAAAGTGTGGAATACATAATTTACATATTGGAATTTGGAAGGAGGTCTCATTTTTCTCCTTTCTCTATCCCTGGCTAGCTAATCATTGTGCATATTATGTGCAGGATTTAAGCCTTGATCATCATCCAGGTTTTTAGTATCTGTTATGCTCTGAGGTTCAATTTGAAGTGGCTCCACCACAAACTGAGTCTGATCATCAACACTTTGCTTGTTAAGGTTAATTTTTATAATAATAAAATCATTATTAGTAGCTTTGTCACCAAGATATGGGAATTCATCTTCATTTAAAATTACAGATCTACTTATTATCATGTTATAACCTCTGGCATTTTTTATCCATAGTCTATATATTTTAATCCTTTCACCATATCCTAGAAAGACACTTCAAAGATCTGGGATCCAATTTAGAATCAGTATGGTGTGCATAAGCTATACAGCCAAAGGTTCTAAGGTAAGAGTAATCAAGCATTGATCCTGACCTACCTATTCAAGTACTTTATTGTTTAGAACTAGAGGACACCTATTTATCAAATGACAAACAATCTTTAATACCTCCCCCAAAATATCTTTGGCAAGCCTAAACTAATTAGCGTGCATCTAGTTCTTTCAAGAATGATTCTATTCATTCTTTCAACAATTTCATTTTGCTGAGAAGTGTAAGTAATTGTTCTATACCTCAAGATTCCATGTTCACTGCAATACTAATCAAATTCAATATTTCAGAACTCAAGCCAATTGTTAGTCCTCAAAATCTTAATCTTCTTACCAATTTGGTCTTCAATTAATATATTCCATTATCTAAAAATTGTGAAAGTATCAAATTTTGATTTTAACAAAAGAATCCATACCTTTCTTGAGTAATCATCTATGGTAAGAAGGTAATATCTATAACCAGATGCTGTAGATATAGGAGTAGGACCTCATAAGTCACCATGAATGTATTCAAGAGCATTTTGAGACTTATGTATACTTGCCTTAAAAGGCAATCTATTCAGTTTTCCCGTAAAACAATGTTCACAAAAGGTTAATCTTTGAACATTGTCCTTTCCAAAAAACCCCTTCATTGGAAAGAAATTTTAAACCTTTT